ATAAAATGAAATGTCTAAGATATTCCACCCTCGAAGTGTCAAAGGTGCGGTTAAATTTCTTGGCATATAAAACATTCTTCCTTAATAGATACAATACATTTTGTAAATAATACTTATGGTCTTGAAAAGTTTTATTGAAAATTAATATATAATCAAAGAAAACTAGAATGAAGTTTCAAAGAAAAGGCCTAAAAATGTTATTCATCAAGGATTGAAAAGTACTTAGGGTATTAGTTAAACCAAAATGCATCACTAAGTATTCATAGTGGCCATTATAAGTTTTAAAAGTAGTTTTAGAAAGATCATTAAGATGCATTCTAATTTGATGGCAACCCTAACTCTTAAATCTATTTTTGATAAAACATAAGACCTTCTATAATTCATCAAGCAATTCTTCAATGATTGGAATAGAAAACTGATCTTTAATAATCGTTTGGTTAAATTTCTTGTAATCTACACACATATCCAAGTATAATCTTTTTTCTTAATCAACACTACTAGAGATGAAAATAGAGTTATACTAGACTCGTATAATTCCACCAACCGACATTCACTAACTCCGCTTCTCAATCTCATCCTTTTTTAATAAAGGAATATCTATATGGCTTCATGTTTATAGGTTATGATCCTTCTTTTAAAATGATCTTGTGATCATGAACTCTCTATGGAGGTAGGTCTTGTAGTTCGTCAAATACATCTTCGGATTTTGTTAAGACTCGCTTTTAATTCATTATAGCTTAATCGATAAACTCTTATTGTCAAAACATCAAGCACTCGTTAATAAATGAGAATAAAATTTTTACCATCTTGTTTGTTGTAAAGAAATGGCATCAATACTTAGTTGATTGCCATTTTATTATTTGTACTTATCATCAAAGTTTGAAGCATTTATTGAAGTAAATGATTCATACTACAAAATAATTATCTTGGTTGGTAAAGTTCAAAGGTTATAACTATGACATAGTTTACAAGAAGGGGTAAGAAAATATTGTTGTTGATGTTTTATCTAGAGTTGAGTTATTAACTTTAGCTATTTCATCTATTTTTATAGACCTAATAGCTAAAGTGAAAGCAACTTGGAATTTTGATCTTATTTTAAAAGAAGTTCTCATGTAGCTTCAATCTTATAGAAAGAATCATCCTAAGTTTGTATGACGAGAATCAACAATTAAGAAGGAATGGAAGACTAGTTATGGAAAATGACTTAACATTATGAAAGGATTTAATCTTTTTGCACTATGATTTTGCTATTGAAAGACATTCGATGTAGTGATAACTACTAAAATGGTGGTCTGTATTATTTTATTAAAAGGGCTTAAGTGAAACTCGTAAAGGAATATGTTCGTACTTGTGTAATCTACCAAAAATGCAAATATAAGAATCTGATCATACCGGGTTTGTTTCAACCATTACCATTACCTCAAGCCATCTTCTCTAATATTATTATGGATTTTATTGAAGGCTTGTTAATATCCCAAGGTAAGTCTATAATCTTTATAGTTGTAGATATATTAACAAAATATGCTCATTTCATGCCATTATCCCATCCTTACTTTGCTAGATCGATAGCTAAAGTGTTTATGGAAACGGTTTATAAGCTTCATGGTTTACCTAACAATATTATTTTTATAGGGAATCATGTATTCCTTAGTAAATTTTGTAGAGATTTGTTTGCATATCAAGGTGTTTCTTTAAAATTCTCTATTACTTACCACCCTTATATTGATGGTCATACAAAAGTTGTCAATTGATGTTACAAACTTATCTTTGTTGTATGACATCATCTTTTTTAATGCATGGTGTAAAAGGTTTAGGTTTGGTTGAGTTTTGATATAACACATCTTCACACTTCCATTCAAATCTCTCATTTTGCAGCTTTGTATGGTTATCCTCTCCTATTGCATCTACTATATTTGCCTCATGATTATAAGCGTAAGCTATCAATCAATTTATGTAAGATAAGAAAGATGTGATTACTTTAGTGAAATGCCATCCGAATAAGGCTCAACACAAGACGAAACAAATGGCGGATAAAAGTATAAGACTAGATCGGATAGGATGTTCAATATTGGGTGTATTTAAAGTCGTATAGTTATCATTAATAGTCGGTAACACTTCATAGAATCAAAAGTTAGCTCTTCACTAATTTGGTCTTTTTAAGATCATTGACAAGGTTAGTAAGGTAGTTTATAACTTATAACTTCCTTTGCACACCCTTATCCATCCAACCTTTTATGTATCCCATCTTAAACCCGCCTATGGGATCGTTACTATGCAAAATTAGCTAACAATTTTAGTTGACGTTCAAGCTTTTGAGTGGCCATTTTGGATTATAATTTGGTGAAGAGGGAAAACCAAGTTGCCACTAAACTTTTGAGTCAATGGTCTAATGGATCTTTTGTAGATGCTACTTGGGAATTTACCTTTGACTTAACCATATATTTTTCTACTTTTAACTTTAAGGGCAAGGTTACTTTAGTAGCTAATACTGGTTAAATAAATAGATGGTGCATGAGTCAATAAAGGATGCGTGAGTCAACAAATAGGCCAGGTGGATGACAAAATAAGGACAAGTGTATTAGTTGTTAGTAGTTGTTATAGATGATGTGGCATATTGTTAGTAGTTTGTTATATTGGTTGTTAGCTTCTAATGGCTACAATAATATACAAGAGGTGAGGGAAGAGAAAGGAATTATTCGGCATTATTGAGCATTCTTTTTTCTAGATTATCTATCTAAGTCTTTTGATTTTCTCTTGCATTTTTTAGAGTTCTTATCTTAAAAACCATTGATAAAGATTCATTTCTATACTAGTTTTTTTCACTAATTCAACCGTATTGTAATTTCATTCATATCATTATCCTTCATGATAGTTTTCATAAACTTATAGGTACTTTTTTTCTTGTTCATCTATTGTGTTTCTCTTAATTTTTACTTGGTTGGAATTGAACCGCATCAAAATCCCAATAAATTTAATTTATTTAATTAGTTTATAAAAGATGAGGGCTACTATCTTTAATCTATAATCTAATCATTTAAATCCAAAGTTACGAGATATAAAAGTAAAACGAAATTATGAAACCTTTTTGAATTCCAATTTGAACATTGTCTAAGAACTACCATAAATGGTAGAGAAAAGAAGGGATATGATGGATGAAAGATAGTTCCTTTGAGTCTAGGTCATTTTTTGATGACAAGTCCGCTACCAACTAAGAGTTCCAAACATGGTTGATTCTAGCGGACTAGTGCTCGATAGATCATAGATAAGTATTTCACGGTGACAAATTGGTGTTGTGGTTACGAGTGTGTCGAGAGTTTGGACTTCGTAGCTCTTTTTTTAGGATCTATTTGAAACCATCTTTTTTTCTTTTATTTTTTTGTTTATTATTTATAGGTTTGTGAAGTCCGTTTATTTATAACAAAGAAATACTACAACAAATTTCTTATACAAATTAATTTAATTTAAGAATATATATTATTATTTATAGGTTTGTGAAATCTGTTTATTTATAACAAAGAAATACTAAGACAAATTTCTTATACAAATTAATTTAATTTAAGAATATATATATATATATATATATATATATGTTTTCCCTTTTTTTGTTTTTCTTTTTTGTTTGTTTTTATTTTTAGTGTGTTAAAAATTTAGATTTTAAATCTGGATTTAATTTATGCATAAATTTTTTTCTCTCTCATGATGTTTTGCCCTTACAATAAGATTTTGATGTCCTTACCTTTGGTCATGGTAGATGTTTTTTGTTGATTAAAAAAATTGATGTTCTTTTATAATTTTAAGTTGTTAAGATTTTTCGTCAATGTTATGGGTAGTGCAACATGTTTTGCACTAATTTACAGTGATGCTAAACTCTCAAGTGTGCGTGATGTGCAAAAACAATCTCATATTGCGTGGTTCTCATTGGAAAGTTTCGATGAATTTTAGATAATATTCCTTTTATATATATATCAACGAATTTTAGTTATGGTGATGAAATAGTAGCACTATAGTTGTGATAGGGGTGGTGACAACTAATATTGAGATGAAGATAATGATGATAAAAATGCTTATAGCAAGATGATAAATTTTAAAGTATTGTAAGAATAATTATCAATAGTTAATTAATAAGAGATAGATACAAAAAGAAGAAAGAATTCATATATATATATATATATATATAGGTTTAGTGAATAAATTACCTCCAAACTACTAGGTTTTGGTAAATTCGAACGTTTACTATTAATTTAGTTTGATTAAACTCTAAATTATTATTATTATTTTGTAAATATGATATTTATTCTTTATTTTTAATGATCAAAGAGTTAAGCGTCAACATTCAATTTTGACCATTAATATTCTAATATTTATAAATACTTCACTATTTATAAATATATATTATAAAATAGAGGATTCAATTAAATTTTTTCAAAGAAAACATTTATTGTTTTTCTATTTCTGATAATGCCCAACATGAAATTAATAAATTTTTTGTATAACAACATATGTATTTGTAAAAGAATACGAGTTTAAATTATTTATTTTAAAGTATTTGAATTTTTAAATAAATCTGATCACAGCAAAAGATCAAAATAACTCTTTATTTGTACCGTGAGTGTCAATTCAGTCTTTTACTAAATAAATATGTAATTAAAATATTTTAAAGATATATATACAACAAAATTCCAAAAAAAAAAAAAAAAACATTTTACAAGTTTTAGCTTTTCAGCTTTCAAATTTTTTGAAATTTTTATCAACTACCTCTAATTCTATTAGATATTGGAAAGGAAAAAACAACCAAAACACTCCTTCCAGATGGGTCCTAAGTAGGGTTCTGGCTATGGAATTTTCAAACTACAGAGAAGTTATGGGCCAGTATATCATGTCCATTCAATTGGCAATGGCTCAAATTAACAACAAATTGCGTGGTTTTAAAGGACAAAAGAAGAAGAAGAAGAAGAAGAAGAAGAAATCCCGAAATGCCAAGTATCATCCATCCTCCTCCATCATGCTCTCCTTGCTTCTCTTTTACGTCTTCTTTCGTTTAGCCCTCTTTGGTTCTTTAGAGAGCAAAAGAAAGTGAGAAGAAAGGAGCAAAAGAAGAACAAGGAGAACGACAAAATCCCAGAGACTATCATAGCTACTGGTTTTCCCTTCTTTGGGGATTCTTGGGAGGTGTTTTTTGCTGTCTTGTTTTCAAGTCCTGCATTTCCGCTTACATCTACGGACACATATTTTTTGAACTCTGGGATGACTCCAGAAAGCTGATTGTTCGAGAGTATCAACTGATTTAGGGATGCCATTTGAGTGAGAAAGTCGGGAATCTCACCCGAGAAATCGTTGTTTGAGAGATCCAAAACTTCCAAGTCCTTCAGTGGAGAAAGAGTTTTCGGAATATCTCCTTGAAGGAGATTGGTGCTGAGATTCAAAGAAATCTGCAATTTCACTGGCATCATTGGAATCATTCCACTTAGTTGATTTTGTCCAAGTTGGAGTTCTAACAAAGAGTTCATGCTGTTGACGGTGGCAGGTATTGGACCCTGAAGTTTGTTGCCTTGCAAGTTCAGGTGAGCGAGACTTTGCAAGTTTGAAATTGAAGATGGTATTGAACCAGTGAGTGAATTCCAGCTGATGTTCAAGATCGACAGCGACTTTAATTGAGTGATCTCTGTAGGGATATCTCCACCCAACTTGTTGAGCTGAAGATTCAAAACTTGAAGATTGCTGAGATTACCCAACAGTGGAGGTACATGGCCTGTAAGGTCATTCTGTGCCAAATTCAATAATGCCAAACTACGGCAAGAACCCAACTCAAGGGGTATCCCATTGGTGAAGCTATTGTTGTCCAGTTCCAAGTAAGTCAACTTCTCAAGTGTCCCTAATGAAGAAGGGATTGACCCATTGAGCTTGTTGCTTCCCAATCTCAAACTGATCAAGCTCGCAGATATCTTTGCAGGTATTGAACCTTCCAGCAGATTACAAGACAAATCCACAAGTTGCAAATTCAACCCTGATAAAAAATCTGTCGGTATAGACCCTCTTAAGTTATTGCAACTAAGATCTAAGAAGCTGAGATATCTTGTAATTCCACTGGGAATTGTACCACCAAACTCGTTCTGATTCGCTGCAAATCGATACAAGTTTGGTATACCTGAAATGTTTGCTGGGATTTCTCCGTTCAATCTATTGACAGACAGAAGCAAAAACCTCAACTTGGAGAGATTTCCAATCCTAGTAGGAATCGGCCCCTCAAGTTTGTTGGAACTAAGATCAATTAATTTCAAGTTCTGATAATTTGCAATTTCTTGAGGTACCGTACCTTGGAATTCATTCATAGAGAGCTGAAGCTCCTACAACAGCAAGGACTTTCCAAGGTTTACAGGAATAGGACCATTGAACTGATTGAAACTAAGATTAAAGATTTTGAGAGAAAGCAATCCATCTAACTGTAAACTAACATTACCGGTCAAAAAATTGAAAGACAAGTCCAAAGATTCTAACCCAACAAAACCATTGAAAGTAGGCAAAGGACCAACTAACCCATTTTTGCTAAAATTCAACACCTTTAGTCCATCAATCCTTCCACAACCATTGATGAACTCATCTGGGATTGAGCTCAAACGGTTGTTAGAAAGATCAAGGGACTGTAAAGTTTCAATCTTGCAAATTTCAGGTAAGAAATTAGAGTTGGAGAGATCAAACTTGTCTAGAGAAAGACCAGTTACTGCTGAGTTACCAGAGCTGCATCCTACTCCCTTCCAAGAACATGGGTCTTTATTAGCCCATAATGAACCAGAAATGTTAAGGAGCTTAGACAGATTGACCATGATGGTGGTTTGGTTTGAAGATAGTTGAGAGAACACTGAAGGAAATAACAAGAACAAGAAAGACAAGAAAAGAAAGGTTATTTGCTGCACATACCTTGCCATCTTAGCTGAATTATCCAAGTTTGTTTTTTCTATACTTTATTTTTGTCTCTGATTGTGCAAGTGTGCAGTATTTTGTATATATTTTTTGTTGGGTTCAGTTTCAGGTGAAGAGGAGACAGAATAAAAGGAAATGGCAGACACCAAAGGAGAACAGAAAAAAAAGAGAAGATTTTTAAGACACTGCGAGAGAGAGAATTGATGGGTTATGGCCTCATGGGGTTTCCATTTCAAAGCTATGTGCTTTGTGTTTTATGGGAAAGATGAAAGAAAAACAAATGTATGACGTGTTAGGAGTGGCAGTCGACTGTAGACTTGAGCTGAAACTTCTGTTTCTTTCTTTGGACAAAGACTGAGAATGTCACACATTGGCTTCATCACACTTGTGTGTAATTTGTGTTTGCAAGTTTGTGGGACAAGTACTCTTTCCCTTCTTTTTCGTTCGACTTGTTAAGAAGGAAGAACTGTTTTTTCTCTTTATTTGTTTTCTTTAACTTCAACACTTTGGACATTGATGCACACATTTGGTCTTTCCATGAAATGGAACAGTACGTAGAGGATCGAATTCAAGACTTTATCCTCCTTCGCTTTACAAGGGATGACAACTACTTCCTGATTAGCTAATTTGAAACTAAAATTTAATAAAAACTTCAATATTTGTTGCAAAATGAGTCCCGCTAACATAACAACCACTCTTTTTCTTTCCTTTTCCTTTTCCTGATTTCTAAACAGAAAAGCAAGAAATATAAACAAAAGTTCATATTCAATCGAATCAACTTCGATCCAGTTTATTTGGTTTGTTATTGAACATGAACATTAGAGATTCCATTGTAGAAAATTTATGTTAAAGCAGGCAATTCGAGTCCTATTTCTACTTTTTGGTCCAAAATCAGTAACTTTAAGAGAAAGAATGGTTTAAGTCAGCAAGAGTATGAGTTGAAAACCCACCACTCGTCTATAATACAAACTAGAAATCACAACATGGTGTACTTACAACACAAGATACTGAGGAGGTTCATTGAGCAACTAATGCTATTTATTTCAAAGGCTCAAATAAACCACATAAATAAACAGAGAGGGTTTATAATTAAATAAATAAGTATAAAGTGAAAGAAAGAAACAAAGAATAGCAAACAAAACTAAAGATCTCAATTATAACTTATAATTTCAGGGACCCATCAACAATATGTAAATGCTGCATAATAGTTCACTGAACTTGGTACTCCAAAAAGAAAAGAAATCAATATAATAAATGAGCTTATAAAGAATATGAAAGAAATTATTGTTATATCAACATTTTCAGGCCTATCTTGTATCCAATTGTTAACGTCATTCACGCAACAATCAATTCCAATTAAATAAGAGGGCACATATAGCATTGCCCTTTTTCAACTTTTCTCCAACCTTTTTTCACAATATCTTGTATAAATTTTGCCTCATGTCTACAATTAGAAAACAAAATGACTGACGAGTCAACAATCATTTTAATCATGAAGACCTAAAAACCAATTCGAAAACCCCATGTAAAAAGAAATGTTTTGTCATTGCCTCATTGCTCTTCTTTTTTCCTCTTGTAACTATCTGATTTTTTTCCCCTTTGTTTTATAGTTTTCCAATTCTCTTTCCATATTGTAGAGATTAAACTCAACTCTTCGAAACCTTATAGAACTTTTAAGTACTAAAAGCAAAAAAATCCCTTTGACTTAGTGCCTATACGAGTCCTGTCTCCATATTTCAAGTATCGAAATGCTTCCTAAACAAGCCGAAACATCTATTCGTAAAAAATTTATGAATTCCACAAGAAAACAATTCTATTAAAATAAATTGTAATTAAATTCACCAATTTGGACCCAATTATTTAACTCATTAGAATTTGTTAGATTCAAGGCCTAATGACAAGAATTTGTTTTTAATCATAAAAAAGTATTCAAATTTAAATATTGCTTAATGGAATATTATGTTTTCTATATTCTTCCTACTTTATTTGCTCGGTTTCTATCATCTATAGTTGTAAAAATTGTATTTAGTGTTCTACAATGCATATGCTCGAGAACTTAGGGAGCTTGCCTTCAATTTTTCAATGCATCTAATTGACTAAGTTTTCCATAATTTCTTTATCTTTCCTCTATTCCTAATTAATAAGCAATCCCTTATTTCTAAATCGATTCATTGTTAATTGGATTTGTAAGCTTTTAAGCTTTTATCCCACTTCCTTCTATTTGTCCAACATAAGGTTGAGAAGAAACTTAACAAGTAAAAACACAAATACGGAATGGCCGGAAGATATCTAGATAGCAAGAAGAATAACAAAAGGCCAACCTAGAGGGTTTTGAAGATCCAAAAAAACACAAATATCTCACTAATCCGGGTATCACACTAATAGCAATAATGAAGGGCGCCTTCGGCTTAAGTGATTCTCCGAGACTGGTCCGGATTTCCAACGCCTCGGGAAGCCGGTCGAGATAGATGACAACGTCCTTTTCCTCTCTTCCTTACCGGTAGGGCAATCTTCTCTTATGGCCTTCACTTCCCGCCCCGCAAATGGAGAGGATAGCGGCCTTTAGAATGGAAGAAATAGCAGAGCGAGAATACGTTGCATATCTCGCTTATATCACTAATCGTAACGGTTATCTCACTAATCCGATCTACGATTTTGAAGATAAAAAAAAAAAAAAGATATAGGAGTGAAATCAACGAGTTTACAACAAGGAGTAAAAAGAAGTGACGGACGCAAAAGGAGGAAGATGCCTAAACAAACAAACTAAACAATATTCAGCAAGAAATTAGATCTAACCGCTCTTTTACTTGGAGGCATTGTTTGCTTGGCGATGGCGTTAGCTTTGTTGTGGTGGTGTTGGGTGGCGAAGATGTCCTTGGGTGGGTCGTAGGCAACAATTGTTAGGTGAGTTGGGTGCGAATAAGGATGGACAACAAAGAAGCCCCATAGAGAAAATGTTTTCTTATTTTCTATTTGGGAGTCACTTTCCCAAAACTATGCTTTTAATTTTCCTTGATTGGAAAATACACTTCATTAATTTTTTTCCAAGAAGGCCAAATAAACATGGTAAAATAGGGAAAACAAGTTCCAAGAACTTATTTTTCTTGAAACAAACACGACACTTAATCCCGGAACTTTTTTTTATCGAAACAAACATAGCACTTAGTCCCGGAATTTTTTTTTATCAAAAAAAACATAGCCTTAGTTTATTCGTTGGTGTGGAGCCCTAAATTGAATGGTGAAAGCGAACTTGACCTAAGAAACACATTTGGAAGTTGTAAGAAAGACTTTTTTAGGTCTTCATAAATTATAGCCATGTTTTCTTGATACAATCGACTTTTAGAATTATCTATTTAAATTCGAATGGGTACATTCACAAAAAAAATTATTTTTCATATTTGCTAATTAATTTGAACCAAAATAAAAAATTAATTAGCATTACCACTTGAAATCAATAATATCGAATAAGACCTAGACGAGTTCGGGAATGAGTCTAATTTCTCGATTTAATTAGTTATTCACTAGTTCAATAGATGGATCCTTGATTGTAATTTTTTAATCGTTTTAAAATCATATATTATTCATCGACAAAACAAAAATTAATGATAATATGCTTATTTAGAAAATTGGATTAGCATTCAAATAAGTTGTATCTACATTGTCACGGTGAATAACAAGGGTTGAGTGATTTAGACACCAAGTTCATGCAAAAGAGAATGAACCCAAGCAATTTCAATAGTAGTGGTAGCAATCGTATGGTATTCTACTTCGAGTGTTGGTCTAGTTGTTGATTTTTGCTTGTGAGAACTCCATGAGAGAGCATTAACACCAAGAAAATCCAGATATTTAGAGGTGGAGGAATGATCATCAAGATTACTTGGTCCAATCAATATTCAATTAGGCATGTATGTATTACATGATAAAAGAGAAGATAATGATGTGGTGAAGAGTGAAGAAAAAAAGGTGACATGGAGAGAGGAATTTAGCAACAACGAATGATGTAATTGAATGATGTAGAGAAGAAGTTAACAAGTAGCTAGCATAACAAAATTAGTTAGAAGAGTCGGTTAGATTATTAGAGAAGTTAGTTACAATGTTAGTTAGGCTATTACATGAGTATAGTGAGGAGAGAATGGCTATCTTGGATCATTTGTGTAAAATCATTTCTCTCTCGTGTTTTTGTTCTCTAACAATTATCTCTCTCTATAAAACAATTCTTGTTTTTCTTTAAATTTTTATATTATAATTTCATTGTATGTGCTTCTTGTATTTACACTAATAATACTATAAGCTAGGCAATTAAATCCCGAATCTTCTTTGGAATTTATGAACTGTATCAAGTGGTAGCAGAAGCAACTCTTGCACTTGTAGAGAAAATGTGAATTATGATGGCTAAAGGAAACATTAATTCAAGAAAGGTAGAAGAATCTTTTGAACACTTAAAGTAAGTAATCATTGATCTTGCTAAGAAACAAGACGATGTAGCTTGTCAAAATACTGTAAAAATGGAAAAAATTAAGGAATTATTAAGAGGTTTGCATGTTAATAGGAATGATAATAACGTCAATCATAGAGTGAGATTCCAAACTCGTGGTGAAAATGTGAATCTTGGGAAAAATGGATAGAATGATGAGGCTAGAGGTATGAATTTTAAAGACGAAATCATGAACTCAACACTAGTTACCAAACCAATATATGGCTATATAAGATTGAATTTCCTAGATTTGATGAAGTAGATTAAAAAGGATAGATCTTTAAGTGAGAGCAATTCTTTGATATTGATAAAACACCTAAGGAATCTAGAGTTAGTTTAGGTTCGATTCATTTAGAAGGCGAAGCGCTAGAATGACATCAAGTCTTTGTTAAAATCAAAGATGAATACGTTAGACTTAACAAAGAAGAA